AGCAAAAGTACCTGAGAAACCTTCAGCGATTAAAGGCAAAACGTCAAAATCGCGATCACACTTTACAATATTATCCCCGAGCTGGTGACGAAATATCGGACAGTGAGGGTAGTGAAGATGATTTCCAAACCTATCAGCATCATTGGTACACTGGCGAGGTGGACTCAAGTTTGGCAAGATCGAGTCGTCTGGCGCTACTACACTCTCAACTTCAGCGACAGCTGCAGCAGCTGCAGTGCGAGGACGAGGAGATGAAGATAACTCTCAAGTTCAAAACTCGTTGCTTGCTGGAGGCTGCTATTAGAGACCCAACTACAACAGCTCGGATACTGAGCGACTCTGAAAATAGTTGTAATACCATCGAGGGACCCCTAATTGTCGGTGGTCCCTGCGGTGCGGATGGTTGCCAACAAATTTCATTACCTTGTACACGGCACTGCTCCCGACACGTAATGATGAACGGTGATCAGCTGCTATTCGAACACTGCACTGCCAAATTCAGCGATAATACCCAGTGCTGCATACCGGTGTTTGATGTGGCACACGAGTTGCCATTGTGTCCCGAGCATGCGAGAAAACGAGACAATTATCATCGCCGAGCTCAGGAGTCAAAACCAAAGAAGACACGTAGCAAGAAACCAGCTTCACCCACTGACGGAACAACGACGACGACGACAATGATGACAACGACGACGGCGGCAACGGCAACGGCGGCAGCGGCGGTGGCGTCGACAACGACTACGATAACGACGACCACAACGACAACGACTACGATGACGACGACGACGACGACTACGACAACTACGACGACGACTACGACAACGACAACAACGACGACGACGACAACAACAGCAACAGCAGCGATAGCGACGGCAACGGCCATAGCTGTAACGATATCGCGTCCGAACAAAACCAAATCCAGGCCAAAAAAACGAAAGAGGCCACTCTCCACAACCAAGTTGGAGGTCAAGGCTGCATCCGTATCCGCTACAATTGCACCGCTTGATATTCCTGTAATTACTACAACTCTCGTGCCGGAAGAAAATCATTTTACCAATCCCATTATCTCGTGTAATGAGATTCATACCAAGACGCTTAACAATCTCAATGTACCATCACAAGGGACATCAAGTGCAGTCACGAGCTTGAATAATCTTGCGCTTGATATTGGATCTTTGGGTCTTGGAGGTGGACTTAAGGTTGAATTAGATGATCATGAGGTCTTTGCTTCATTAGACCATACAACGGAACATGATTTTGAGAATGTTCTTAACAATTTGCCTGCTGATGCTTTTAATGATCTTTTTATTGGTAATTTTTTAACTGTCTTTATGCTTACAGCTCATATTATTTTATAAGCATTGATTACTTTACAAAAAAAAACATATAGAAATTTTTTTTGGTTTTGTTAAATTTAAATTCAAATTTATAAATTATTTTAGTAAATTCTGCTTACAAATTATTTTTGAAAATGTTTAGAGGACAAGTCTGTTAATTATTAAATCTATTTCTTTTTCTGTCAGGAGGTTAAGATTGGTCAAATAATTTCTTTTCTGTATACAGCAATGTTTTATTGATATTGAAATTAAACTTACTTAATATAAAATGAAAAATCGCACTTATTAAAGGGAAATTTATAAATCAAAAAGTTAAAAATTTAATGTATAATGTGTAAGTTTTTTGTTATTTATTACATTGTTATATAAATAAAAAACAATCTTTAAAATAATTGATCTAAATTAATTTTTGAATACAATTTAATAAAATTTAGTCATTTGATTAAATTGTTGGATTTGTTACAAAGTTATACATAAATTAATTTCGAAAGAATCAGATGTTTTAATATTATAAATAATATTTGCGTTTACCTTCTTAGCTTCATTTCTTAACTTAATTTCTCCTAACATTTATACAATTAAAAAATTTCCCTCTAATTAATTAAAGTAATCTTATAGTTGTCGAGATCACTTTATAATAATGAATTGCATTAAAATTTTCAAATTTATTGAAATTCAATCAACATTAGAATTAAAATTACTAACAAATTTAATTGTTTAACTTGCACTTTAAAATAAAATTCAAACATTACTTTGAATAATAATTTTAAAGTTTTTACAATATAATATTTTATCAGTAATGTTTCAAATAATTTTAATAAGAATTTAAAACAATGTTTCCATTTTTTGGAAAGATATTATATTTCCATTTTTTTTTATCTATTGAAATATCTAATTAAATAAGACTAATGCCATAAATTAATTATAAATGAAAATAAATATGTTTTATTGAAATTAATTTTAGGAAGTATTTTTCACATTTGTAATATAATGCATTCTTGGATCAAATAGGAACTATTTAATATTTATTAAACTGCTACAAATCTCATAAAATGTAAAGTGTATATGTAAAGTTTAAAATTGATGATTAAAAAAACAATTAATACACATATGTGACCTTAAATGACCATTCAAAATCTGATTGCCCTACTTGTTAAATTTATAGAGAGC